AGAGAGAGAGAGAGAGAGAGAGATTTCAGAGTTTGACAGAAAATGCGTAAGTGCACATTTTGTTGTAGACAGTGGTAGCCAGTCTCTTGCCTGTGGTCATACGGTCTCAAATTTGGCATGCTTTAACATTTGTAAAGAGCTTTGAAGATCTGAAATTTTTATCTGGAATATTTGGATTTTTAAAGATTGGCATCCAGTTTGGAACCCAACTACTCTTTGTGAGACAGGAGATGAGAGTGTGGATAGCAGGCTGAACAGGTTGATGTGACCTGCCCATCAGTTAGATAGAGGACACCTGTCCAGGCCCAGGAAGAAGCGCCCAAGGGTTGCTTCTTGGATCATTCACAAAATGCTCTCTTCAGTCCTTCTGCCACAAGATCAAGGTTTCAGATCAAGTTCTAGCTGTGACGTCTAGCTGTGACATCAACCTGAGGAACGGCACAGACAAGAGACATCGGTCATTGACCTCATGGCCACTTTCCTGTCTCTCAGTGGCTTACTCTCACTCTGTAGAAAGTACTTCTCTTTCTACCTGTGTCAGTTACTTTTCTCTCATTGCTGGGACAAAGTACCCAACACCCAAATATAAGGAAGGAAAGGTTTATTTAGCTCACGGTTTGTGGAGGTTTCAGTCCATACACAGCCGGCTCCAAGGCAGAGCGGCACATGGCCGATGATAGCAGTTTATAATGGTGGAAGACAGCAAAATAGCAAGAGCAAAAGGGAGGAGGAGCAGCAGCAATGTCAGCAGAGAGCAAGTCTGTCTCTCTTGTGTTACATTCAGGCTAATCTCACCAGGCTGGGTATGGCACTCACACCAATAATCCCAGCAGTATTCAGATGCATAATCCCAGCCTTGGATCATGAATTAATCACAAACTCTAGAAGTCCACCCCATAACTGCATGAGGCTTGAGGGGATAACTAGACACAAACCACAATACTACCTTTAGTAAATGTAAAATTTCACAGACCTTTGTATTTGTCTAAGTCTCTAGGACAAAAGGAACGGGGGGGGGTAACTATAGAAGTACCCTGCAACAGCAAAGCACCCCAGTAATACCTTTATTTCAGTGGGCATGATTTGGCTTGTGATTTACATTTTTGTGACCTTGGATTTTTATAATATTGCTTTCCTTCAAATCTGAACATTGTGTGGGGTTAATAGGTTAGTAGGGACATGAGTTTCCAGGTTATGAGGTGCTGTATTCATTTGTTCTGTTGGACAACTGGCTAAGACATCCTGCGTTTCTATGATTTTTTAGACCCATTCTAGATCTGAGTTGTGTGTGTGTGTGTGTGTGCATGTGTCTAGATTTAATCTCCTTAAGTCAATGAATAGGAATATAAGATCCAACCAGACTGTTCCATCAAATATTCATCAGGTGTGATTTATCTTCCCATCAGGCATTTTTGATCACTGTGTGGAATTTCGAGCTCTATATGATCCCCCTGGCATTGCTGCTGCTATTTTTCTACAATTTCATCAGGCCCTTGAAGGGAAAGGTCAGCAACATCCAGGATAGCCAGGTAAGCAAATACTGAAGTAGTTCCAGCCTTTGACTCAGGAAAATGTTAACAACCAGAGACAGTAACTACTGCGCACCAACTCTCACTCCATCTCTGTTTTGCTTCCGCTGTGAATGTAGCCCAGCACATAACATTTTGCAACAGCATTCGTTCATTAGGAAAAATAGGGATTTTCTCTTTGTGGTATCTTGTGTTCCTGAGAGTCAGCCTCTGCTCTGGGCAGGAGAAATGCCCTTTGGTTTTTTGGCCATTGTTTCCTTCATAGGACTTGTCTAAGTACGGATTCTGTATGAGTTTACAGAGAGAAACTACCTCAAACACTGCAGAAAATGTGTAGTGGCTCCCGGATTTCTTCCAGGACTAGCAGAAAATTCTGGAAAGCTGGCTCAAGCTTTTCCACAAGGGCACCCCACAGAAAGTTTTCTTCTGGCTTGAAGGCTTAGGAGAGTCCCTGAGTCCTGCCAACTCCCAGGGCAATCAAGTGGGGAGTAAGCAGAGAGGGCTCTTTTCTCTGATGTTGGTATTTGCTCTGGAGTGAAGTCTCTGTCCTGTGGAATGACAAGCAAGGCCCCTTCCCAGTCACCCCTCAGTACTCTATCTCTGGGTTTCTCTGCTTCTCTTCTGCTCCATCTCCATCTCCATCAGCCCAGTGCAGAGGACAGTTTTCTAAGTGAGCAGAAATTTGTATTTATAGCTTAACTTTATGATGAAATGTTGGCACTCCTGATTACAACGAGGTTTTCTGAGACTTCAGTGCTAACCATTGTCATGTATTTTTTATATTCTAATTTAAAAATTCATCTCTGAAATAGTTGACATTTAAGGAGTGTTTCTGATTTCATTTATGACAGAGAAAAAGTGAGAAGAGAGGAATGGCAGAGGAGCAAAGTGAAGGCATTTTCAAAATTCCGTTTTTATTTTGATCATTTAATGAAATAGATGTGGATTTATGTTAATGAAAGAATAAAACAGACTGATAAATGGGTTTCAAGTTTAGGTTCTTTTAAGGTCTAGGCTTCACAAGGGCATAAATAAGGGGTGTTTATACAAAGAAATGTCTGTAGTAAAAAAAGGCTATGACCTAGTAGTTCTACAGAATTTATAAGATAGTATAGGGCTGGGGAGATGGCTCAATGGAATAAGTGCTTCCCTGGCAAGCACAAGCACCTGAGTTCAATCCCTGGTTCCACAAAAAAAAAAAAAAAAAAAAAGATTGTATTTTGCTCACTGATGAATATGCTGTGTGCTTATAGGGTGTGTGTGTATTGGTGTATTTGTGTACACTTGTCAATGCTTCTGCATATGAATATTCAGTTGGTCATTTGTGCATAAATATATTTGTATGTTTGATTACAGATGTTACATGAACTCCTTTTAACTAATAAAACATGCTCAAACTTACCCCTTAGTTTGATACTGAGGACACAAGAATGACAAAAGAGCCAGCATTTTCCTTTTATGCTTGAGGAAACAAAAGCTCTGAGGGGTAAAGTTATTTACCCAAAGTTACAAAGGCAAATCATGCCGGAACTCTGCATCCAGGTGGACTTTCAGTGTTCCTAATTGTGATGCTGCCCGTAATCTTTTGTTTTTAATCACATTCCTATTAATCTGTTGTCTTTCATGAGTCACACTTGCTACCCAAGTAGAATAGGTTGGTTCCCCAGGGCTCGATGGCTGTCAAGCAGCTAGCTGAAGTCCATGAAGATTCTGGCAAATGAGGCTGGAAGTTTCTGAATGACTGTACGGTGGCTTTTTGGAGTGTTACAGAGAATGCTGCGTCATCAATGTTAATATCTTTCAAGAGCATAATACTGACATATTTTTATTTATTTTTATTTTTTTGCTCCGAATGCCTTCAGGGCAGGTTTGGCTGGCTTGCGTTGTGGGGATCGAACCACAGCAACCTGAGCCTGACTGCTTTGTTGAAGCAGCCACTTAAAGAACTGAGCTAAGGGGCAGGCCCCCCTGACATATTTTTAAACTGTGGGAGTGATAGCAGCGTGACACACCTTTGCAAGGTTGAGTGTTCAAAACTGACCCTGGGGAGCTAATATTGAGCTTGTTGAATTTCTTCCTTCTACATTCATTCAATTTTATAACAACTTTTGTGTGCTTTTAAACCATACATTGATAGGATTAAAAACTTAACTATTACGAATAACTGCTAAACTGATTTGAGCCGGCCTGTTGGCAGCATAGGTGCTGCTGAACCAGTGAGCTACACCCAGCCTCCTGCGAGTTCCTGTCTGAGTGCTTAGCTTCCTTCCCCCGTACCTGCCCCTCCTACCCTCAAAGCCCGCAGAAAACAAAGATCCCACGTAGAAACCTGCAACTTATCCTTAAGATGGATTGTATTCAGATGAATGCATCTTCTACTGTCTAATGTTGCAGTAATGGCCCCACAGGGAAGGAGCTGTCATTACAGCCAGGAGCCCAGCACAAATGGAGTATGGTGTTCTCAGACTTAACATAGCAGTTGGTTCATTTGTCAGAACAAGAACAAAACTGTTTACAGAAAGCGTAAGTCTGCAAGGCATTTTTGAGGCTGGATGCCTTCAAAGGGCACTTGCCTAATAGCTTTATTTATAGGTAACAGTTTTATGGAGAGGAGGCTCATTGTTTATAGTTTTGCAACAGTGTCCCTGAACTTGACTCGCATTTTCAAGAGGTTATGATGAGTTTTAAAAATAGTAATGCTTCAACTCTGTAGAAAAAATTTAAAACTGCCTCTGTGTTTTATATGCATTGGATAATTCCACTTGATGCTTTAATCACAAACCATGTGGTTTCTTTGCAGGAGAGCACAGACCTCGAGGAAGAGGAAGACGAGGATGACAAGGTGAGCGTGCTGCTCAGGGCCAGAAGGGCCCTGATGTTGCTGCCAGACTTGCTGCCTCACGCTGCATTTTTTCCTTAAGGATTATACAGTGAACAGTACTTATGTAACTTTGAAAAACCAATACCTTGTGCATGTTTGAAATGGAACTTCTTTGATACATATTTGTCTCTGTGCAAACATAACACTAGTAGCAATCACCTTTCCTGTCTCTTTTATTATTATTTTTTTAAATTTAGGACAGGGTGTACAGGGTCTCACTGTATAGACTGGGCACTATGAGTTTACACCTGTTTACACCTTCCCAAGTGCTGGGATTACAGGTGTGTGCTGCCACGCCCAGTCGCAATTGCCCTCTCAGTGTGCCCCAGGGCTGGGGCTGGCATGGCAGGCCTGGGGATCGAACTCCTGGCCCCTGCCTCTGCCTAAGCAGGTGCTTTAATCCACTGAGCTATTTGGCCCGCCCTCACCTTTCCAATCTTATAAAGAATTTTTAATCAATTGGCAGGTAATAATTGAACATCTTTCCGGAAATCAGGTGATATGTTGACCCTTCCTAAGACTGTTTAAAGCTGAGATTGAAATGAGGGGGAAACATAAGGAACAGCTGAAGTGGTCCAAAGAGCACAGCAGTAGGAAGCCTCAGCTTGGACAGAAGCCAAGATGAGCCTTCGTCTTTGTAGATAAAAGGCAGCCTGGGAAGTCAAAAGTAAATCAAGTGAAATCGCTGCTCCTTTCGGGTCACGTCTGTGCCCTGTGGGGTGGTCACCCACTTCCGAGCCTGTCACTTTCCCAGCTGTTGCTGGCAGTGTGTTCCGCTACACGTCTGGGTACATCTGTCCCTTTGCTTCTCCTGGGAGAATCTCTCAAATCTGCTGCTTTTGTTGTCATTACACTTTCAGACAGACCTTCTGGAATGAAATGAATAAAGAGAGGTGCCAAGCGAGCTGCTTCTAGCTTAATGGACTCGCAGTCTCCTAAAAGCCCATGGGTAGAGGGGGCTGGATGGGATCCTGCCACAGGCTTCTGGGAGAGCAAAGGGCAAAAGGAGGCACTTTATGAGGGAGCATGCGCTCTAAATGCCCATAGAATAGAAATTAAATGGCAGGCACTAGCTCTGCGACACAGAGAGCCCTAAAATTAATTGAGTGGACCAGATGGTTTTAGCCATTTGAAGCAAATGGGATGGATTACAAGTAAATCTTACTTGTTGTGCTGAGATGATCATTAATAGCAAAATAGTGGAGTGTAATATTTTTAAGAGGGTCCACACCTTTTTGCAGAACAGAAGATATGTGGATACATCTAGATCTGATACAGTTTTGGGTGACAAGCTTATTGAATATCAGCAATCATCACTGAACTGAAATGCATGATGAGAATTTTTGTTTTACTGGAGAAAGTTAGAAGAACAAACACAGGTGTTTGAAATCCACATGAGGAGCCACATGTCCCTCTGGGCTTGCTGTTCTTCCTGCTTATCAGCTCTTACTACCTGGGCTCAGTCATTTGCAAGAATGGTTCAGAACTTCCAGGAAGATTTTACTCACACTTAGTAGTTTACTAGAAGTGTACTGCTCAGGAAGCACCAAGTGGAAGAGATGCCCTGGGCAAGGTTGGAGCCAGGCCAGGGAACTTCCATGGCCCCGCTGGTCTCAGGAACTTCCCAGCAGGTATTCACCAACCTGGAACCCTCGTGAACAGTGTTTGACTTTCTTTTATTTATATTTAAGAGAATAAAAATATAGTTGCTTCAGTGAAGGCTTCATTAAGCAGGCCCAGTTCTTCAAATCCTGGTCTAGCCTCTACCCCATTTCTGGAGGTTAGGGGACTTGGACACAGGGTATCTGCAGGTGTCAACACTCTCATACGATTCTCCTGACTGCTAGCACCCCTTTAAGGCTGTCTAAAAGTTCCCCAGGAATATTAATTCAGGTATTATAAAAAAGGGCTTGTTATGAAGACCAGAAGTCTCTCCTTTTACCTTCTCAGATCTTGAGCTATTTCAAGTCTTGGGACAAAACCAAATATAACAAACTACTCCTACCACACTTCTCACTTAGGAAATTTCAAAAATTTCAGAAGCTCTGGCCGGCAGCCAGGGACAAGGACCAAATATATGTTTCTTATTATATAACATTATCACACTAGGCAAAATTCTAAATTTTTACAAATCGTAGCTCTATAGTGAAGAAGCAGCATTTTTGTTTGCCCAAAGTTGTTCAAATAAGCCATCCATGAGGAGAACCCCATGCGCCTTTTTGGGATAATTGTGAGCATTTTGGGCTTATCTAATGGAGCAATCATCCAATAGGGAGACAATGGATAAGAGTATGACATTCAGCAATCGGCAAGCATAACATTAGGCCATCAGCCTAGGTTGATGATTGTCATGGTCTTACCTTGCACAGAGCAAAGTGAGGTTCTGGAGATAGAGCTACATGAGCAGTACTCAAGTCCTCTTGGGCAAGGCTGAGGGAGAAAAGTGGAAGGATAGCTGGATCTTCAGGGATGACCTCTGGAGTCACTGCCTGTTACCTTAGCGTGGCCCTACACAGCTGCCCCCTGTGGAGAAGGATGACAATAAAACATTCTTCTCCCACCAGGGACAGACATTTTTTGGTCATTTTTAAAAGGGTCTTTTGTTTATTGTATTTTAGGGAAGGGTCTACAGGGGATCAGGGTCTCACTACTGGAATGGACTCTTAGTGATTCTCCTGTTTACAGCCTCCCAAGTGCTGGGATAACAGGCGCGAGCCCCATGCCCAATCTCAATTGCTGCCTCAGTGCTCCCCGGGGGTGGGGCCGGCAAGCTGACCTGGGGATCAAACCCCCGACTCCTGCACTAAAAGGGTCTTTTAAGAGCCAAAACATAATCACACTTGTTTTATCCTTCAGTTTCATATTTCCATGAGTTCCATATTTCCAAAAGCTTTCAAAGGAACAAATCTGAAATAAAAGCCTGATTTCTGTTTATGCCTCTTCCGCTGAACACACCCCTCTCTTGGTTTGGGAGACTGGTGGGCTTTCTAGTGCACTCTCATTGTTTTGTTCCTCCTTCTCTTGAGGATGTGTTAAGCTAGAGGAATATTCAGCATCAAGAATTCTGAAATGCATATTTCCATACATATGGTAATTTTTAATTTATTATTCGTGTGTAGTAGCCTCCACCTCTGAGATATGCTAATCCCAACGTGGACACATGGTTACTGGTGGAATCCCCAGGGCAGTGGCTTGTCTAAAAGACTTCCCCCTGATCTCTCTGGCTTCACTGTGTGTTTCACATGACAGTCCATGCTTCTGGGAACTGTAAAACACCCAGGCCAAGGGGAATTGTTTACAAGTTATAAACACGCAGGCATTTTGTGCAAAACCAGAAGAGAGAAACTCCTTTCTAGCCAAACTATCCATCTTGAAAGTGACACTCCTTAATTGCTCCCACCGATTCCCACCAAGTACCATCAGAGGTGATAGTGGAAGATGAAAGACCACCTCGCCCCGTGGCCCAGCCCCCCAGGGGATGACCTCACCACCCCCATCTTCAGCCTATCTGTGGTGCACAGACCAGGACATGCTCTGGCGTCTGTCACCTCATTATTGTCCGGAGCAGCAATGTGACATCACTGTGGTCACCGTTCCTTCTCATTTTTAAAAGCACATTGTGGCATCATGTATTGGAATCTAGGTTGGACACCACCGTTTTGCCTTCTTTTGTGGCCTTTCAATGATAACATGGAAGTTTCGGGGAACTAGTTCTTTTGGCTTTCAGGAAGCAAAGCAGACAGGCTCAACTTTGAAGACAGAAAATCTTCCTTTCTTTCCCTGATGACCCATGTAAGAAATTGCTTGTTACAAGTATAGTTTGCGAGGGACCCCAGAACAAACAGATAATGGCCAAGTTCAGCCAACAGCAATCAGCTGACATTTCCTATTTGTATTAGATTCCATATGTGACATCCGTCTGTGTGGACCTTATTTGTACGGATGGATTACAATGAAAATTGCATTAATTTTCTACACAGTAAAGGTCAGTAATTGAAGCATGAACCAAGAAACTATTGTGTAAAATGCTGTATCCCATACTTAGGAAAGGTCATGCAAGACAATAATGTCTTGTTTTCATTGCTGAAGGTATAAATACTTGCATTAAAATTTCTTTTTTTTTCCAGCCCAACAATCACTTACATAGAATATTTTAGCACATACTATTAACATCAGGAAGGATTATAAGGGCATGTAATAAAAGAAAAAAAGCTTTGCTTTTTTGCTATGAGTAAGAAACCCATTGGATGTTGCAACAAGGGCTGGCTAGTTTATATCTCTGCACACAGAAAGAAGACTTGAAATGATTTGCTCTTTTAGAATCCCTAAAGAGGTCACAATTTCCTGACAGTTTATAGAAAAAAGAAAATTATCCACTTACGTCAGTTATGGACGAAAACATATATGGAAATGTTCCTTTAGGAAACCAAATACACTTAGTGCGTTTCTCTTGATTGAAGAATGTTTTATAATGAAAAAGTACAAATACATATTAGATTTACTTCCTATTTTCACAATTTATATTACCTTCATTGAAATTTAAACAGATTTGGAACCATCAGTTTCAGCATTTAAGATGATTTTTCAACCTCTAAACTGAGGAGTTAATCTCCTCATTACCCAGCGAAATCCCTCAGAGTAAGAGAAGCACAGAGTGTGTGTGTGCGTGTGTGCGTGTGTGCGTGTGTGTGTGTGTGTGTGTGTGTGTGTGTGTGTTTTGGAAGAATTCTCTCAAGGAACCTGCAGAGGCCTTTGTTTGAGGGGCAGAGGCCCCCAAAGGCTCAGGCCTTCCATGTCCTTGTTCCAGAGTGAGGAAATGACCTGCTATCCTAGTCCAGAAAGATTGGTGTTTATGGATCATGAACTACAACCTCCTAGTAAGAGTAGTTTTCTTTATTATTCCTTTAATCTGCACAAAAGAATTCCCCAAATACAGTCAATTGGTTTAATCAGTGTTTTTT